ATCAATATTTTTTCCCTCGTCTTTAGAAGTTTTTAAGTCTGTAAAAAAGAAGTTTTTGAGGAAGAAGAAGAAGCAGTATTTATTTATTTATTTTTTTTAGACTTAAGAAACTCAGAAGCTGATCAAATATCGGGTTAAATATCGGTGGGGTGGCCGATTATATCGTGCATCCCTATCCTGGATCCTTGTTTCCCAGAGCAAAGTAGTAACTCTGCTCTGGTTTTATCCAATATGGAGCAGAAAGATCTTTACCAACAGCTGCACTAAAGCAATAAACCAAAGACATCTTCAGAACCGGCTGGTCTGCATCTGGACAGAGAAGCTTCAGGGGAAAGCTCCCAGTGGAGGACTTAATGGAGTGGTGATCTCCAGTGGAGGATTTCACAGGGCGCCATCACCATGAACTGTTTTTTATCGGTTATTTATCAGTGTGTTTTAAACGAGTGTCCTTTCTACAGTCTGTCTGAAAATGTGTTCCATGTTTTTATGGAGTGAACAATACTTAAGACCATTTTTAGCCGCTTAATTTGTGTTTTAAGGCTTTTTGGGACGGTGTCTCTGTGGAGGTTAAAGCCAGAATAAAGCTGGAGTTTTACTTCCACAGAGACACAGAACATGGAGGATTTTATTCAGTTCTGTGTCAGATGAAGGACAATTTAACAAGCTCCTCGTTTAATGATTTTTAGCTAACACTTGTTTCACATCGTTTATAGGGTTTGAATTGTGTAAAAAAAGTGTTCTTCTTGCAGATTGATGAGTCCGACCAGCGCCACCTCTCTGCACTGAGTCCGACGTGTGGTTGTTGGTCGTGCAGCGTGAGCAGGTAGGTCGCATCAGGCCGTACAGTAGAAAACAAACATCATAAGCTGTGGACTTCTAAACCCCGCGGTTTGGTCGTACAGTTTGTGCTGTAGCTGCGTGCAACGATTGGAAATATCCTACAGTGTTTGTCCGGCTTTAGCAGAAATATAGATGAAAATAATCAGGGCTGACTCCTCTCAGTTTTTGGGTTTAAGGATAGAGCAAATTAAAGTCAAAAACCAATCAGGTTTCAGGTTTTTAGGTTTTTTACTGTAGTTTTAATTAAACCCGACAATATTTGTGATGTGAAGATCATGAAAGATTAACTGTTTAGTCACAGTCCTTGTGAATACCCATGTGTCTCTTCATATCTCCATGCTGTGAAAATCCTTTACCGCAGACGCTGCACACAAACGGTTTCTCCCCTGAATGGACCCTCGTGTGGTTTTCCAGTTGGCACTTTTGATAGAATCTGCTTTTACAGACGTCGCAGCCAAACGGCCTCTCCTCTGAGTGAACTCTAACGTGTCGCTCCAGCTGGATTTCCTTCCCGAAACGTTTACTGCAGTCGCTACAGCTAAAAGGTGCGGTGTGAACCTCCATGTGGCTTTTTAGATTATGTTTTAGTGAGAATCCTTTGTTGCAGACGGTGCAGGTGAACTGCTTCTCTCCTGTGTGAACATGCATGTGTCTCTTCAGCGTCTCCTGCAGTGAAAAGCCTTTACTGCAGACGGTACAAACAAACGGTTTCTCTGCCGTGTGAATCCTCATATGCTTTTTAATATTTTCCTTCCTTTTAAATCTTGTACCGCAAACATCACAGGAAAAAGGTTTTTCCACTGAATGGACCTTGAGGTGAGTTTTAAGGTTGGTCTTTGCATGAAACCTTTTACCACAGTCGTCGCAGGAAAACGGTCTCTCCCCAGTATGGAGTCTCATATGCGTCTGAACAGAACTCTTTTCTTTGAATCCTTTCCCGCAGACATCACAGCTGTGTTCTCTCTCTGCCGTGTGAGTCATCAGATGTAATCTGATGTGAGCGTTACGTTTGAAACTCTTGCCACAAACATGGCAGCAAAATGGCTTATCTTCCACAGTTCCAGCAGATTTAGATGTTTTAACTTTTTTGTTGGAAGTCTTCTCAGTTTGTAGAGAAGGAAAAACTGGATCTGGGTTCTGGTCTGGTTCTAGGGGTCCAGGATCGTCTCCAGCAGGTTCTGTTTCCATCTGATCAGCCGGGCTGCAGGCTGGAGTTTTAGTTTCTCTCTTTTCGTCACTTTTGATCTGATGAAGCTCCAACATCTGAGGTTTCTCTTCATCTTCAGTCTTCACAGTGAGCTGCTCTTCCTCCTCACCGATCCAGACTTCCTCGTCTTCCTCCTTGATGTGGGGGGGCTCTGGGTCCTGCTGGTCCAAACCGGGGCTCCCGTCATGGGGGACCACTTTAATCACCAGCATCTGATGGACTGCAGAGATTAAAACATGCAAACATTCAATGATTGCTTCTAAACCGTTTT